CAAAAGGATAAAGTGACAACTGTCATACAGATATGAAATGAACATGTGGGTTATGGAAATAAAGCCATCCGGCCAGTGGAGGCCTTTCCATGCCCATGCTAGGAAAGAGAAAGCCCTGGTGATCAGAGGCTAGTGCGCTGAGACTCCACATGTGTGGGAGGGGACTGTGTGGAGAGACTCTTACATTACACAGTGAAGTGGAGGAAGAATGTGAACTTCTCCCCGGTCTTCTCGAGGGGTGACCTTGTGACAGTCCCTGCGTGCCTCCCGAGGGCGCCTGAGTTATTTGGATGTGTGTGTTCCCAGTTGTAGAGGGCAGAAGGCCCTAGACCTTTCATTATAGAATCAAAATCTCTCACCCGGGGGATTCTGGAGGCACCCTAAGGAGGGAGGAGGGAAGCAACTATCTCCCGCAAGAAAGGTGCATCCTTTTACCCTTATACATGGAAAAGACTCTTTTCTTTTCTTTTTTTGTTTTTTTGAGACACTTTTGCAGGTGACTACTTTAGAAAGATTGTTGGAGGTTATGATACCTACTTGGTTATGGGGGTGCAGGAAGAGGAAGCCTGTCGCTCCAGCAGAGGAAAGTCCCAGTTACATGCCAGAGGAATGAACTTGGCGTGTGAGAAGGTCCCAGTGAAGGGGATCAGTGGTGTGCCCTCCCAGGGGGGTCTGAGCTGCTGAGAGATTACGCAGATTCCTGTAGACCACACGTGTCCTTGTAGACCACACAGATCAGGACAGGTACCCATAGGCCACACTGCAGGTCCCACTGCAGACCACATAAGTCTCTGTAGACCATATTTCCTTTTGAGTTCACTGAAAAATGCATGTTACAAATATAATCAAATTTTATAGCAGGAGGAAATAAGTGAAACCAAGCAAAACCAATTATATGAAAACAGAAAATATAGGCAGCCAAAATAATGGAAAATAGCATTTTTCATGGTGCTGTCGCTTTTCTCATTGCAAAATCTAAGAACAAAATCAATGTCTAAACAATCACTTTTATGAGATTTCCATCAAGTTATATTATTCATCTTATTCTTCAAATCCAAACCCAAAACTTGTTAATAGTTTTATGTGTATTAAAGCAAATTTGACAACAACGTTTTGTATTCTGTAACTGGCTTTGGTCGTTATTTTAAAAATGACTTTCCATGTTTTTCTTACAGGCCCCAAAAGGCAATCATGGCCCAGTGGTAGGGATGTCTCTACGTTTTCTGTCATTTATGATTATAGGTCTTCATTCGAGATTGAAAGAGAAGCATCAGGAAAGATGGCTTGGCTTCTTAGGTGTTCATCAGTTAACATGTTGGAGGTGACAAGCAGGTCACCAAATAAATGCCAGCAATGTCTTTCCTTCCCTCCTTCCTTCCTTCCTGTTTCCCTTCCCTTCCCTTCCCTTCTTTCTTTTTTTTTTTTTTTACTTTTTTTTTTTGAGATGTAGTCTCGCTCTGTCACCCAGGCTGAAGTGCAGTGACTAGATTTCGGCTTACTGCAACCTCCACCTCCCGGATTCAAGCAATTCTCTGGCCTCAGCCTCCCGAGTAGCTGGGACTACAGGCGCATGCCACCACACCCAGCTAATTTTTTTTGTATTTTTAGTGGAGACAGGGTTTCACTGGGTTAGCCAGGATGGTCTCGATCTCCTGACCTCATGATCTGCCCACTTCGGCCTCCCAAAGTGCTGGGATTACAGGCATGAGCCACCACACCTGGCCGCCATCCTGCATTTAAGAGAAGAGGAAAGTTTAAATAGTTATAACGTAAACCTCCACCATAGGCAAATGTGCTTCAGAACTCTTTTTGCCTTTTCTTTTTTTCTTTGTTTCCCATAGGTTATTGGGGTACAGGTGGTGTTTGCTTACATGCGTAAGTTCTTTAGTGGTGATTTGTGAACCATCACCTGAGCAGTACACACTGTACCCTACAGGTAGTCTGTTATCTCTCACTCCCTCCAACCCTTCCTGCCAAGTCCCCAAAGTCTACTGTATCATTCTTACGCCTTTGTGTCCTCCTAGCTTAGCTCCCACATCAGTGAGAACATATGGTGTGTGGTTTTCCATTCCTGCAGAGCTCTTACTTTATTTTATTTTTGAGACAGAGTCTCACCCTATCCCCCAGGCTGGAGTGCAGCGGCATGATTTCGGCTCACTGCAACCTCCACCTGCCAGGTTCAAGCGATTCTCAGGCCTCAGCCTCCCGAGTAGCTGGGACTACGTGTTGGGATTACAGGCATGAGCCACTGCGCCCAGCCTAGAACTCTTTCTTGAAGAAAACTTTCATCTTTTCTCGGTGCGACTGAGGTGTAAGTCTTCCACTCTGTCTTCTTTTGGACCCAATTACTGGCCAGTTATTTTGTAGAATTTCTTTCTGTTTGGGTCTGCATAAAGTTTCCTTATGGTTAGATTCAGGTTATGCATCTCTAGCAGGAATGATGCTGTGTTTTCATAGCATCTTATTAGATGATGCATGATTTCAATTTGTTCAGTTACCAGTGATGTTTAATCATTTGATTATCTCTGCCAGGCTTGTCCAGTTAAATTTACTCATTTTTAACTTTGTAATAAATATTTCATGGGTAGGGAGTTTGAAAACATGTTAATAATGTGTTCCCCCTTGAACTTCTAATTTTTTCATTTAGTTATTTTTTTCAATGGGTTATATTTTGTTACAAGTTTTATTTTGCTGCTCAAATTTTCTTTGATTTGGTCAGTAGGAACCCCTTTAAGCTGAATTTTCTGTCCTTTTGACATGGTCCCATCATTCTTTGAGCCCTTCTGTGTTTTTTAGCGCAAAATAAAAAAGGCTAGGCTCATCTTGTAATTTACCTACCCCGGCTCTGAAATCAGCTATTTCTCCAAGGAGCTCTGGTTTCTTTCACTAGAGAGTAGTATTTTAGAAACCACACATTGGTACAAATTGTACTCATACCTAGTGAGGTGTTGCTGGTCTTAGACCCTCTCACAGGACAGAGTTAGGAAAGATATATAGCTTTCCATAATGATATATACTATATATATACACACACACACACACACACACACACACACACACACACACACACGTATTTCTACATCTATCACTATATATTGAAAACCATGATGCTTTCAATTTCAGTCCAGTATCACAGGGTTCCTGCTAGTTTTATTCCTTTCCACAATTATCATTCTCCTTTCTAACAATGAGAAACCAGCTCTCAATATCCTTAATATAATACTTATTTGATCAATCTCCACGTGTGTAACCAATCTTCTATCAATGACACCATCCTTTTTTAGCGTGTATTACTTCTCATTCTACTTGGGTGTAAGCCTCCTGTCTTAAATCTATTTGGGCTGCTGTAACAAAATGCATAGACTGGGTAGCTCATAAACAAGAAAAATTTATTTCTCACAGTACTAGAGACTGAAAAATCCAGTGCCTGGTCAGCACCCAGCCTTCTCATTAATAAATGGTGCCTTTTAGCTGTGACCTCATGGGATATAAGAAAACAGGTAGTTCTCTGGGGCCACTTTTATAAGGGCACAAATCTCAATCATGAATGCTCTGGGCTCATGGCCTGATTACCTCCCAAAGACCCCACCTTTCAACGTCATCACCTTGGGGGTTAGGATTTCAACGTATGAATTTTGAGGGAGACACAGATATTCAGACAATAGCACTCCTTCTAACGAACCCCCTTCTCACCCTGCTAGGGCTCATGTGGGGTCGACCCCTATCCCACACCACATGGATACCGTCCTCGCTCTGGGCAGGCTCCAGTACCTCATGCCAGCTTTCGTGGATGTCCTCCTCTTCCTAGTCCTCAATCCTCTGCACCAAGCAGCCCTCCTATGCAGCCAGACCCCTTGTCACACTACCTGAGCTGACACTCAGCACTGTACTCACCCTGCTGTAGAAGCCTTCTCATCCTGTTTAGACACCATCCATCTGATGTTCTTTTTGTTTCCAAGGAAAAAAATTATTTTTATTTCTCATTTTTAAAAAATCAACAGAAATTTATTTAATTAAGCATCAAGTTACTTCCACATTTGTCTACAACCACAGTAAATACAGTCCTTGGCATAAAGACACAGCCTTTAGAATTTAAAGACTCCCCATCTGCAAGATTACATATATAAAACTCCCAATATATATAATAGTGGATTTGTTAATCAAACTGAAATAGTTATACCATCTAGAATAAAATAAGATGGATACAATTTACTCATAAGATTCATATTTAAATCATTTTTGTTTAAAAAATACTATTCTGAGAATTGAAGCTTAATGCTTCAATATGAGCAAAGGTGTAATCACTTAAATAACAGCAGTTACTTCAACTGAAAATGAGATCCGTCAAAATTAATCTAGAAGAGAGCAAAAGTATTGTCAGGTTTCTTGCTGTGGTTCTGGATGTTCAGTAGCAGGCTCATTTGAAGGCAAAATCAACCCTTCTACCTTCAGAATGTGGGGTTGAGGGGAAAAAAATCCAGGCTTTGGAGGAAGATAAGGAGGAAAACCCTTTGGTGGATAATTTCTCATTGCAAATGGAGCATGTGGTGGACCTGGGGAATCCCTCGGTGGAAAATAATCTCAAGACTCTACAAACATGGTTTCTGGAGGAGGTAGGGGGAAAGGAGGTCGTCTTCTCATGAATGGGCCCCTTGGATCCATTGGAAACAATGGACCTCTGATTGGAGCAAGAAGTGGCAGAACAAAGCCAGGGCCAGTTGCTTCGTTTTCAGCAGGGAGAGCAATGTGATTCACGCACATTGAAATTACCAAGATCGTCTTTGGAATCATTTCTACTGGATTCCATTTCTAAAGGCGTTGACCCATCCATTTTATCCAAAGAAGGCATATTAAAACTTCTGAGTTCTGCTGGTCCAGACAGTCTACCAAAAGTAGAATAAAATCTGTCTTGCCTTTGTGGAGGAAGAGCTGAATCAGGATATGATTGTCCTGGTGGAGGAAACATCATCCTACGGTCCTCTTCCTACAAAGGTGACAGGGACACAGTGTCAGGAGGAGCCATGTGAGGACTGGTTAATTGATCACAGCTTGATTCTTCTCTTTCATTGGTAATCTGATGGTTCAGAGGATTTCCTGGGCCTCTTGAGCCTCTTCCTCCTCCCCTGGGAAGCAAAGGCAAGAGTCTGAGTGGACCCTTGAACAAAGTTGGAGGAGAGAGAAAAGCTCTCATTTCAAATGAAGGCTGACCCAATGGTGAGGGACCATGTGGGGAATGTTCTCTGCCAAATGCTGTATTTGGAACATCAAGTGCATAAGTGTCTTTCCTAAAAGTTCAAATTTAAACTCCGTTTCAGTTAATTTTTGTCTGTTGTAAGCATTTTCTGTCCTTAAATCATTGAGGTTTCTTTCAGCAGTCCGAGCTGCCAACCAATTGTCATGTGCTTTTTTCTCGTAGGAAATAATCTGCCCTTGATAATAAAGAATAGTTGTCTCCAATTCTTCTTCAAGATCTTTGGCTTGCTTTCTATAGGTCTCCAGCTCTTCAGTGCTGTGGCTGATCTTTTCGTCTACTTTAGAAAGTTTCTCTTCTTTCTCTAACTGGTAATTTTCCTCTACTGTTAATTTCTCATGGAGTTTCATTGCATTTTCTTGACATAATTCAGTCATTACCTTAAGTTTCTGTTGAAGTTTCTGATTCTTTCTTTCAAAATGTGTGTTTTCTGACTGCAAAGGTGCTTGTTCAGTCTGAAGGTTTTTAATATGCTCCGTAAGCTCTATTTTGTTTTATCAACTTCAGATAACTGAATATAAATTTGTTTTCTTTCTCCTTCTAAGGTTTTTAAAGAAGCATTTAACTTGGCAGCATCAATCAGTTTCTTCAAAGCTCCTTTTGGAGGATTGCCAAAGTAAGCACCATTTTCTGATTCACTGTCCACTTCTAATTCCAAGTTATCATCATCCGTCACGTCTTCTCCAAGCATAGCAGCCCAATCATTCTTCAGCAAGTGTTCAGCCAAAGTCTTGATGTGATTTTCTTTATTGTTCAGTACTTGTTCTGCATGTATTTTGGAGTCTTCCAATGTTATTTACTGTTTACTAAGTTCACTCGCTTGTTCTTTCCATACTTCAGCTTCCTGCAAAAGCTGTTTCTGGTTTTCCTAAAGTTGAAAATTTTCATTCAAAGCATCTTTTATTGCTATCTTCAGTTGTTTTTCATTTTTAAAGGCCAAACCCCCCCAGACTCCAAAGAGCACTGGGGCTAAACTGTGCCAAAGGAGGGTGTCACATGTTAACCAGGACCCCTGCTTAGAACCGCAGCCCAAAAGCCTGGATACGTACAATGCCATTCTACTTTCCATTCAACAGTAAATTCCAGATTCCAAACAATGTTAGGGCCAAACAGCATTGCAACTGTGAGAGAAAATTCTAAGAAGAGTTAATACTAGGCCTCAGAACCTCTGTCAAGAGCATCCCCTTTGGGCAGGTTGAGGTCTGCTGGACCTCCGGGAGCATCCTCCTGTGGGGTACAATCTTAGAGTGCCAGACGTCTCTGGCCTTAGTGGGTGCCACACACAGGTTTTGCCCTCCAGAGCCTACTATGAGCTGCATAAGAATAACTATGAAGCGTAATGAGAACTGGATGTTGGGTAGGTGTTTTTGTTCCTCAGCCGGTTGAGTACAATAAAGGAAGAATTTAGTATAAGAAAAGAAGGTTTGAGTCCTCTGAAACATGTACGAGTTTGCTCCAAGTTGCACCGCACATAGGGATGAGGGACCACACGTGGAAAAGATTTTTAAAAAGTCCTTCCCACTTCAGGGCAGGGCAATTGTAAATGGCAGCTGAAAGACTGAAAAAGAAAGAAAGGAAAAAATTGTGAAAAAGATACAGGTTTCTTAAGCACACCAGGAGGTGGCAGTCAGGCATCTCCACATGGAAAACCCTTCGTTTTGGCCAGAAACCTGCAGTCACTTCCATGTTTACACGCTGCCCACCAAGGGTCCCAAGTTGGAAAGGAAAAGAGCGCGGGAGAGAGAGACCCTCTGTATGGAGCAGAAAGGAAAGGGAGAAAAATAAATCCCAAGCTTTGGGCTCACCTCTTGGCTCACCAAAATATGTTAATGGTGGAAATGTCCAAGCTCTTGACATCTTCAACAAAGAATTGGACAAAATGTACAAACAAAGCAAGGAAGGAATGAAGGATTTTATTGAAGATGAAAGTACACTCCACAGTGTGGGAGCGGGCCTGAGCATAGGGGCTCAAAGGCCTGTTACAGAATTACCTGGCCTACGCCCTATGGAGAGGCTACTTCCTGTCATAGCTGAAGTGTGAATCGACCTCATGTTCCATGCTTCCAGACTCTATTTCTCTGCCTCACAGCCACCTTGAGAACATGTTCTCAGGATCTCTTGAGGGCCGTGTCACAGGCCATGGTCATTCACATTTGGCTCATGAGGAGAAACTATGATTTTTTTTATCTTGCCCAAATTCCTGTCTAAGGGGTCTGGAAGTCATGCCCTACAAACCATAAATTCTCATCAGATGGGTTTTATTTAACCCTATATATTGTGACTTACTTTCCAACCTGACTGGCATAACATTATGAGACAAGGAAGAAAATCAAAATATTTTACCCCAAAAACATGTTTGTCACATTTTGAAATGGCCCTGCAAGCTGTCCTTTGTGGGGAAAATTTGCATCTGTAAAGAATATCTACTAACATAACTAGACCTTTTCCTTTTATGCCCTTCCAATTCTGAATAGGTTAACTAAGAGTCTAACACCTTTTAAAAGTTCTTAATAGGAAGCATTTGTCATCTCTTGTTTCTAAGGGCAGCTGCTGTGAGACTTCAAAAGAACCCTGGTCTCCACAATCTTTTATCTTAACCTGAACATTTTCTTTCTATTGATCCCAGGTCTTTAGACAAAACTCAACCAATTGTCTGCTGGAAAATGTTTAAATTTACCTATAGCCTGGAAGCTCCCCAGCCCCCTGGCACCTGCTTCAAGTTGTCCCGCCTTTCTAGAACAAACCAATAAACCAATGTATTTCTTAAATGTATTTGATTGAAGTCTCATGCCTCCCTAAAATGTATAAAACCACCCTGCACCCCAACCACCTTGGGCACATGTTCTCAGGACCTCCTGAGGGCTCTGTCATGGGCCATGGTCACTCATATTTGGCTCAGAATAAATCTCTTTAAAGATTTTACAGTTTGACTCTTTTTATCAGTGCTCAGAATAAATCTCTTCAAATATTTTACAGATTGGCACAAGGAAAATGTTGTAGAATGGGCCATGTTTTGCATACTGACTGGATTATTTGTCCAATAAAATGAGTGTCCCATACCCTCATAAAATGAGTTTGTTTGAGAGGAACTCCCAAATTTGAAATTATTTTTTCCTAAGGGAATTTTACTCACAGCTAATGGTGATGGCGGTAGATGAATAAAATCTAGTTGCCATACCTCAAAGCAGCCTTTAAGAAAAACAGCCTTGATAACTGTGTAAAGGTTTCCACGGATTATGTTTTGGGGAGGGATCTTTATGCACACAATGGGTGGGTTCAATTGCTTGGTGGGTGACAATCCACTTGAAGTGGCATTGATGTCTGGGGTAAATACCAGAGGTTCATTGTCTCACACCAGGGAAATCAAGGACATGAACACACAAGAAATGAGTGTAAGAGTGGAGGTTTAATAGACAAAAGAAAGAGAAATGAGAATCTCTCTCTCTCTTGCAGAAAGAGAAGGGCTCCTGAGTGGGTTTTCTGGCATGGGGTCTTTTAAACTGGCTTGCGGAGGTTGTGCCTGATTTGCATAGGGCCAAAAGATTGGTTAGACCAGGTGTGCCATTCAAACAGCAGGCACAAGAAACTGACCATCCCACCCTAATCTTTTAGTATGCAGATGGATTCTTTATCTGGCTGGTGCCATGTTTTCTGTTCGCCGCCGTGTTGAACATGCCTAGCCCCTAGGTAGCCTTTTCCTGCTGGCATTCGCCCTTGCAAGCTCCCAGCTTGCTTATTCATGTCTGCAGCTTGATTTTACAGGCCGTTCTTTGTTAGAAAAGAAAGGATTTGGAGGGACATGGTGGCTCACGCCTGTAATCTCAGCCTTTTGGGAGGCCAGGGTGGGTGGATCACTTGAAGTCAGGAGTTCATGACCAGCAAGGCCAACCTGGTGAAACCCCGTCTCTATTAAAAATACAAAAAAATTAGCTGGGCGTGGTGGCATGCGCCTGTAATCCCAGCTACTCTGGAGGCTGAGGCATCAGAATCCCTTGAACCTGGAAGGTGGAGGTTGCAGTGAGCCGAGATTGTGCCACTGCACTCCAACCTAGGAGACAGAGCGAGATCTTCTCTCAAAAGAAAAAAGAAAAAGAATAAAAGAAAGAAAAAAGAAAATAAAAGAAACTATTTTGGGGCTATTTTTATTGAAAGGCAAACCTTACCAAGGACTTTCTTACCCTCACTATCTGCCTGAGTAATTTCTTAACTGCTATGTCACAACGACCATGACCAGAGAGGATTTAGTAAGGGGTTTGATTATTTGTAACATGTAAGGAGGACACCACGGATAGTTCCTAAGCAGTGCTTCCCCGAGTGGTGGTGGAAACAGGGCTTTTATTGGGCCGGTGAGCTGAGCCATTGTATGTAGAGGTAAAGTAAAGGCAGTGCAGATGCAGTTGCTGATTATGCTTCTACACACGTCACATGTACAGGAAAAGGCGAGGCAGCTCCTCCCTGGTGAGAATTTTAGTATGGTAATGAGGGGAGTTCATGAAAGTTTGTTTCCAATTCTAGCATCTCTGGAACCAACTGGTTTTTGTTTTTCAGATACTGAGGGTTTTCATGGAACTCAACCTGCAACAGTTACTAGAGGTAGTTTTTCACAATGCTACTCCAAAACTGGGGAGCCAGGGTTACAATGTGGCAGCACTTGTGCAGTTTATGAGCCACAGTTGGACCAAGTTTCCTATTATACTGTTTTCTCCATGCAATGAAATGACTGGGGCTTCAAAGAGTTTAATCTTGGACATCAAGTAAGAAAGATTACTGTAATTTGATTGGAAGTATCGGTAGACATTTGGTCCATACCATAGCCCAGTTTCAGAGGAGTGCGTTCCCTTTTTTGTTTCCCAGTTTTCTTTTTGTTTTGAAATGCCCTTGGTAACTGTAAAGCACTGAAGTGCTAGATATTACTTTACAGGTCCTCAGAGTGTGCATTACATAGACTGCTTACCTCCTCAATCCTGTCATTCTTCCACCTGTTTGTGATGGCTACGGGAACCTACCTTCCTTCCTTCCTTCCTTCCTTCCTTCCTTCCTTCCTTCCTTCCTTCCTTCCTTCCTTCCTTCCCTCCCTCCCTCCCTCCCTCCTTCCTTCTCTCCCTCCCTCCTTCCTTCCCTCCCTCCCTTCTCCCTTCCTTTCTCTCTCCTTCCCCTCTCCTCTTCTCTCCTCCCACTCATCCCTCCCTTCCCTTTTTTCTCTTTTTTTCTCCCTCCTTTCCTCCCTCTTTTTAAAAAATGGATCACAATATATTTTTGTGACATTTAAACCTGTAACTTTAAGAAATTTATAATGAATAAGTTATATCTGTAAAATGCCTCTAAACTTTAAACACCTGCTGAAAACTCCAATAGCATTCAGTATGGCAAACAGGCTGGAAGGATTTTTCTCATTTCCTAACAAGAAAAGCTTAAAGAATTCACTTTGTATCTAATTAGTAGACTTGAATTAATATATACTATAGAGCCAGTATATGAAATAGAATATTAAGAAAAAATACCATCTGGTTATTGAGAAGTGAAGGAAACGTCACTAAAATTGTGTAAACTCTCAAGTGATACAGAATTATAATGGAAAGAATGTCACCTTAATGAGATCTTAATTTTCTTTAAACAAATGAGAAAATGAAGAAGAAAGTGTGTTTTAAACAACAGCAAAACCAATTCTATTGCTTCAAAAGGTGGTTATCAGCTTTCCAAGTTATAAGAGCAGAAATCCACTCTCAAGTTAGAGATTTGATCTGTAGTTAATAGTTACCCTCAAGATGGCACACCACAGTTTATTCATTTCACAATTTTTCTTTTCCCTCCCTCCCTCCCTTTCTTTTTTTTTTTTTTTTTTGAGATCTCACTCTGTCACTCAGGCTGGAGTACAGTGGTGTGATCTCAGTTTACTGCAACTCTGCCTTCTGGGTTCAAGTGATTCTCCCACCTGTAGCTGGGATTAGAGGTGTGTGACACCACACTGGCTAATTTTTATATTTTTAGTAGAGACGGGATTTTGCCATGATGGCCAGGCT